TTATTAATATTCGTAAATGTAAAAGTACATTAAATTTCATTAATATGTACATTAATAATTATTTCAATTACGATTAATTAAATGTCATTTATATCCGTAAATGAAAAGTATATTAAGTTTCATTACACTTAATTTTTAAGTTACTGTAAACTTAAATCTCATTAACATGTGCATTAATAGTCCTTTCAATTACAGAGAAATTAAACTTCATTCACCAACGTACATTAAAAGTTAATGAAATTTAAGAACATTTCTAACAGTGTAGTGTCATAAATTAGTTTTCTTTACAGAATAGGATATATCTTTATTTATAGAATAGGAATGTTGGCATTATTGCCTACTATGTCAGTTTTAGAGCCCATTTTGTCAGACGCTCATTTGTGCATAAGTTACGAAAAACTTAATTATTGCAAAATTGCAAACAGTATTATAAAAATTGATTATATTATCTGATAGAAGATACTTTTTACTTTGTATTTATGTTTTTGAAGTTGTATTTTTACCTTTTGTTTAAGAAATATTGTCTAAAAACAAAGTGATATGTCGGTATCGGTGACCTTCCTCTACATGTATTTACTTTAATAACAACTAATACTAGTTGATGATAATAATACGCACGAGTTTACAATTTACATTACGCGTATCAGATGAATAATAAATATTAAGCGCGCGCGCACACACACACACACACACACACAAACACACACATGTGAATGTCTTTAAAAATATTTCTCTTGCGTGACTTTGCGATCATATACTGATATTATCACGCGCAAAATTCATTACTAATGAACTTTAATTAAAAATTATTTTATTATAAATATTTTTTACTTTCTTTGTATTGATATATTTTTTTATGGTGAAGATGTTTTTTCCGTTTTGTTTTAACTATGAATCGATATAGCATTGTTACCTAGCGTTTTTTAATGACGTATGACGTAATTCGTCATAAAAAAAAGAAAATAATTAATAATTTATATGTCGTTGTTATTTAAATTTAATATGTATGTGACAGTCGCCAAATAGAATATTACATTAATCTTAATTGGTATTCGTTCCGAAATTTTCTGAACTGGTATTCATAAGTCTATTGCATTTTAAATTAATATATCTTTGCTTGAAGTTAATGTATTGGATTGTCGGAAAAGTCATGACGTATTTTTGTCACATTTTTAATTTAAATTTATATAAATTCTACATTCTGCAATTATACCATTCGATAGAGCAAAGTTTCAGCTTTAAGAATCTGTTTTAATAATTACTTCAAGATGTTTTTTAACGGAGTTATGAGCAATTAAAATCAAAATACTCCTTTTATTTAATCCGCGATTACTCAGTAACAAAAAATCGTAGAAATATTTAAAAAAAACGATTTTGCAGGGAAAGCTGCAAACTTTTGCGATAGATAGTCGAAATTGTTCTCAAAATTTTTTTAGGCATATTACAAATCTACAAAGTGAAAAGAAAATTTTTCACTTTTTTTAGCTGATAGTCTTCTGTATGTAAAAATTACCAAACTCGCATAAACTCAAAAAATATATAAGCTTTTGAAAATAAAGACTTCATACTTCAAAATGTTTTTTAAAATTTAAATTGCGGTCATTTTTAACGAAGATATTCTATATACAATTTTGAGCTGAAAAATGCGTCGTGACTTTTCCGACAACTCAATAATTAAACGATTTTTTATTCATGTGAAAAAAAAATTTGAGGAATAAATGTTATGTAACTTAAAATTGTGTAATGTTGTGAAAAATATTTGTTATAAACTATTTTTCACAGTATAATTGAAAGAAGTGAGTCTTCGCAAATACTGATTTGGTTTCAAATACTTTTTACATTTACATGGTATCAATAGAGTAGATTATCATAGAAATTTCAGTCTTCGCCAGTTCTGTCGTTAAATAATTCTTTTGAACGTATGCAATATTTTCACGCATAAGTGATTCGTTTTTAAAAATTTATTAATTTTTAAAAAATAATTATTTCTTACCGATTTTTATTGGTCGCATTTGGCCATGGATACGTGTTGTCACTAATAAAATTAATGCAATCGAAACCAGAGACCGTCGTGGATCCATTTTAATAAATAATATGTAAAACACAAAGACGAATTTATTCAATGAAATATATTGCGCGTGTTAATTAAGACATAAATAGTATAATACAATGCGATGTCAAATATGCGTATGCATTTGTCCGTCACGCTTCGTATACTGCAATATTCTAAATAATTAACATATAAGAGCTAGAAACGTATTGACCGATTAATTTCATTTTTTTTATCATACGTAGGTAATTCTTGCTTTTCTTCCTGTGGACATTTGTTATTTCTTTGTTTTTTTAGCTTTTTTTAAGTTTTAACAATTGTTAAGTGGATAATGATGTCAGCAGCATCATTATCCAATCCACGATGCAGTTTATAATAATTGTAATATTATTATTTCAGTTTCAGTTTATAATTGTTTTAAGTTTTCTGGTTGTAAGCGAGGTGCAATTTATATAAATGAAGATGTATTTAAGATTTACATTTAAAAATACTATTAGACATTTCTCAAAATCTTACCTCGATTGTATTGCCATTTTTTAACTTATTTCATTTATAAAGTTTTATTTTTATTTTTATTTGAATACATGCTTACAATACAGAATGCTCTAAAATATATATCAAGTTCTCTTTACCTTCGGAAATGAAAATTGTTATATATACTTGAGAATTTACAATGTAACATCATACTTAGTACATATTTTCAATAACGATTTATTATCTGTCACAATTATAGATCGTTATCGAAAATATGTGTTAAGTATAATTACATTCACATACACATTTATCAGGTAATTCCAATTTCTGCTTTGTATACTTCCTCTTGTCAACGCGTTTCCGTATCAGTAATTTTTATTTTTATTTTTTAGACAAATGTCCGAAGCGAGTCTTAATATCTGTAAGACGTTATAAGGACAATGTTTTTAAGACGCCATAAAGATCAGTCTGTAAAACGTCGTAAGTCTGTAAGATCTCTTAAGGATAATGTCTTTAGGACGTCATAAATCGATGCCATAAATAAGACATCTTGAAGACATCATATAGATGTCATTCTGATACTTTCAAAAAATGTCTCATGAATTTCAAGACGTCTTTATGATGTCTTATAAGACGTCTCAATGTTTTCTGGGATGTTTTCAGTGAGGACCTCTTGAACGATTTGGTTGAAGTTTGAATATCTACAGTCGATGAAGCAAATCCCATTTCTGCTTGTCGGCGAATTGTACTCGTGCGAAATGTTGTAAAAGATTTTACAAGGTGGCACCGTTAACATTTTAAAATAATATTACAAGAGAGAGAGAGAGAGAGAGAGAGAGAGAGAGAGAGAGAGAGAGAGAGAGAGAGAGAGAGAGCACTATCTATAAAAATAGATATGTCCGGTTCACGCCATCACACATTTTGGCTTAGCGAATTTATAAATTCCTCCCTCCCTCTCCATGCCTAATACACTGAAGATCTTTACAAACATCTACATATTATATACACTGTAAAAAAAGATGGAGGAATTCAACTCGAATTGAGGTAAACCAACTTAATCTCAGAGTTCAATACGGCGAACTAACTGTCGGATTGCACCAAGAAAAATTTTAACTTCCTTTAACATCTTCCTTGTGTTAAATAAACATTAAATTTAGTTCTATAAAATATTTAAGTAGTTGACTAAACTATTATTGATAGTAACAGAACATAATTGTATCGTCAATTAAAATAATTTTATGAGCGCGATGAAATAAATCTGCAATAGAATAGATTGATTTTAACATTTGATTGGACTATTCTACAAAGTAACGAGAACTCAATAAATTGTTGATAAAAACAATTTTGAGGTAATCTCTACTTTATCTTCGAGTGAAGTAGATTTAATAATTTATCTAGTAGAACAATTCATAAAATTTATTCGATCTCGTTATTTTGTAAAATGATTTAATTGATAATTAAAAGCTTCTATCATATAGATCGATTGAACTGCCTTGAAAAAAATGTTTGTCGCCATGATGTGGCAAGAAGTGTATGAAAAGATCAATTGACCATCCTCGCTTTATACAGGTAGACATCGAATCTTTCTTACGAGTACACACGCCATCTGTTAATAGTTCCACAAAACGCTCCCTTGTTCTAAACCAAAAAGTGGAGTATCGTTAATATTTTATTAAATTCCTATTACTTTTAAGTCGTGTTACTTTTACATTATATTCATGTTCTTTTACTACCAATAATGGTTCATTCAACTTTATAAATACGCTTATGATTATGCCGTCTCATAATTGAATTACGTAAATAATTAGTTCAATTTACTTTTCTGTATGATTGATTTGATCTCCATGAAGAGATAGATTTATTAGAATTACGCAGTTAAATCACCCTTGCATTAGTTGAATGAATTTCAAATATTATTACATTAACCTTATTTCAGATCGGTTAATCATATACTTTGATTAAATTTTTGAGTTCAATTAACTATGTGAAGTTATTCATCTAACTAGAGTAATTATATATCTAACTAGGCTTTTATTCTTCTTGACTTGATTATACTTCACTTAACTCAAATCGCGCAACTCTCAGATTTAGTTGTGTCGATTCTGAGTATTTTTTACAGTGTATGTATGGTTTTGAATATTAATATTTTGCAGATATTATTTGCATATAAAAATTATATTTATTATACTTTATACAAAAAAGATTATCAAATTAAGATTGGACAGTTTAAGACATTGTATTTAGATTGCAATCCACTTTCATGATCTGAATATTTCTTATGACGAATTATTTTATCAATAAAGAGTTAATTGCAATGAGTATGTTTTTATTTAATGAAAAATATATTTATAACGAACTTTGATCTCTTCTTTTTTTTTATAAAAAAGTTAAGCAATGAAACATACCTAAGTACATCTCTAGCAATATGTTCACGAAACAATACGCACTGCGTCGCTGCAATCTATGCTTCGGTTGTTTGTCGAGTGTATAAACATCGCGAAATATACAAATGTATGTAGGGTGTACCATTTGTCTTGGTAGCTAAGCAAGCACGACGACGTCGTTGGATGTCGGTGTCTTCGAGCGGAACGATATTCGCGGTTGTGGACAGGGGATACCGTTGGTGTCGCCTGTCCACGGACGGATTCCATTTAGCTTCTCGACGATGGAGAGGAGATTATACGTGGTCTTTAAACGGCAACCTTAGCGAGTAAGCAATTGGACAGTCGGGTAGAGTATAAAGCAAACGAGCGGCATAATCATTCAACCGCGCATTAAACAGCGAGAAATGCGGGCCGATATAATCTGAAACCCACAAATTTCTTCCTGTATTTAGATATTTTGTTATTTATACACAAAAGAATCAGTGAAGTCCTATAAACCAAGCTGGACTTCTTAAACAAATATCGAAGAAAGAGTTCGCGCCATGTTATGACATTCTGTTTTTTTTTTGTTAATTGCAAACATACATATATTACTGTTTGCTTTTTATTAGTTACAAGGAATGCAAATTTTAGACTTGTTTTAACTAGGGCTCGGACAAAAGATTCGAACATGTTGAATGTTCGATCTATTCGAATAGTTCGAAGTTGAAAAAAATGAGCATCTAATTCGAATATTTCGGACAGTTCGAACAGTTCGAACTTAAGCAGTGATCAGTATGAAATGTCAATTCGTTATGTCTGAAGTTCGGACGGTTTGGACAGTAAACAAATGTAGTATGCCTTGGAAACAAAAGAGCAGTTTTTCACGAGACTTGAATATACAAACATTAGAAAAATGTCAAAAAGAAAAAGTCACGTGTGGGAATATTAATATTAATATTTATTTTTGCAATTTCTTATAGTTTAATATTTTAAAGTGCACTTAAAATCCGTTGTGCACAAGCCAACGTAAAGATTTACTCGTACAATTAGCATATTAGTTTATTAGAAATAATTTTTTTCGTTTTTACTACATTCAAACGTCTTTTTTACATCAAAAAAAAATTTTCGATTTTTTCAACCCGTCACATTAGGAAAGTTATTACACATGTGGAATAACGTCACAATATATATAACTGAATGTAATTGAATGTGCATATTAAATTTAAATAAAATTCCTATATTTATTGATATCGTCCTACAAATATCCTGAGCCATCCTGGACATATTCAGGTTGATTACGACTTGTGATGTCTGAGTTCGAAATGTAATAAATTTGAATTTTCAGCTCTGAAGTGGGTTAAAATAGTTCGAACATACATTTAGTCCGAACTATTTAACGTTCGAACTTGAGATTCGAACTGTTCGAAACGTTCGAAACAAACTGTCAAATCGTCTGATGTTTCCGAGCACTAGTTTTAACATTGTAAGAATCTGCATGGTTTTTACATGTATTTAACGACATGTTTTGACATACCGAGATATAAAATAAGTGAAGGATGGATGGAATAGTTACACACGCGAATATAGCGGATGTAGTGATTTTTCCAAACAAGGAAACTCATATAATAGTATTTTGTTGCTGAAAATAAAAAATTAGTAACTTTAACATTTGTACAATTAATGTAATATACTTCGCAATCTTATACGTATGTATGTATCGTAATTAGTTTGTTATCTACTAACTGCTTCTATTTCTTAGATTGTGTATGCAATTAAAACTGACGCCGATGTTGATAGAGTCATTTTATTTTTGTAGTATCTGAAAGAATGCGGTACATCATTATCGTACATTATAGTTCGCGGTTTTAATCATTGCGATACACAATTTAATCATGCACTTCCTAGGTCGCGTGGGCGTCCGCATCGTAAATAATTATCGCAATAAATAGCTCCTTCCACAAATTACTGCTTTTTATGCAGGAAGAAAAAGGGAGAAGGGATTAATATTTACGATTTTATATTGATTTACTATACGGCGTTGGTTGTATCGGGCGTAAAGTTAGCACTGTAAGCCTTAAGTTAGCGGAAATTGTTAATTCTTAGTACCGACCGGCCCCGTATTAGCATTGATTACAGTAGTTTCAGTAATAACTGAGCTTAGAGATAGGAGCATCAATGAACACCGGCCGAT